GGCGTCCGGAGCCGCGGGTGGTTCTGCAGGCCGCCCGGGTGATCTAGGGTACAAACACAGCTGTCAGGGTGACCAGCGAAGAGCCCCTCTGCCCAAACAAGCAGTCCAGAGAACCTTGAACCAGGACTAGAGGGCAGGAATTTCAGGTTCAGCCCCTCCCACCCACCAAAAACAAGCAAGCATGCAACAAAACCCTGTCATGGAGTTGATGCTGGCTCACAATGACCCTGTGAGACAGGGTAGAATTGCCCATGTGGGTCTCCGAGACTGTAATTTACGGGAATAGAAAGCCATCTTTTCCCCTCTGAGGCTGGTGGGTTCAGACTGCTGACCTTTCAGATTACAGCCCATTTGTAACCACCGTGCACCAGGGCTCTCCCAGCTCACCAGGCCCTGACTGAGATCCACATTCACTCCGTCACTGTTGATGCAAACGGTATTTATTGAGCATCTACTATGTGGGTCTGAGGATTTACCCATTGACAACATGTCCCTAGATCCTTGTCCGCATGGAGCTTAAGTTCTGGTATAGGAGAGAGACTACAATTGTTTTCGTTGAAAACAAACGAAAGCAATGGCCATGGATGTCACCTACTTCACCCTGTCCTCTCCTACTGTGAGTGGAGGGACTGTCAAAACGCCATGATAGCAGAGTGGGTAATGTATGCCTTAGGCTACTAACCACAAACCCGGCAGTTCGAAACCACCAGCTGCAGTTTTCAACTCTTGTAAGAGAGTTACAGTGCTGGAAACCCACGGAGCATTTTGGTTTTTTTAAAATCATCTTATTGGGGGCTCATATAACTCATCACAATCCATCCATCGTCTCAAGCACATTTGCACATTTGCTGCCCTCATCATTCTCAAAACATTTGCTTTCTACTTGAGCCCTTGTTATCAGCTCCTCATTTTTCCCCTCCCTTCCCGCTTCACCCTCCCTCATGAACCCTTGATAATTTATGAATTATTCTGTCATATCTTACACTGTCCGACATCTCCCTTCACCCACTTTTATGTTGTCTGTCCCCCAGGGAGGGGGTTATATATAGATTATTGTAATCGGTTCCCCCTTTCTACCCCCCAGGAGCAGTTTTACCTCATCCTGTAGATTTGTTTCATAACAAATCAGAATTGACTAGATGGCAGTGAGGGACTGAGGGACGGAGGGAGGGAGGGAGGCTCAAGCAGGAGGAGCCCCAGTGGCATAGTGGGCTATTAACATGGAGCTACTAGCCCCAGGTCAGCAGTTCAAACTCACCAGTCCCTCTGAGGGAGAAAGCTGAGGCTATCTGCCTGTTAAGAGTTAGAGCAGTGGTGCCCAACCTTCCTAATGACGCGGCCCTTTAATACAATTCCTCATGTGGTGGTGACCCCCAACCATGTAATGATTTTCATTGTTACTTCATCACTGTCATGTTGCTACTGTTATGAATCGGGCGACTCCTGTGGAAGGGTCATTCGACCCCCAAAGGTGTCGTGACCCACAGGTTGAGAACCGCTGAGTCAAAGCCTAGGAGGTAGTTCTACTTTGTCCTATAGGGTTGTTATAAATTGAAATCGACTAGTTGGCAATAGGTGGCTTTGGTTTGGACTAACCAGAAGCTCAACATCACTGAAGAACTTGCTGGAGAATGAAAAGCCTCAGCCCTGCCCCGCCCTTCCTGAACAGTGCGGCTAGGGCAGGGCACCACAATCTGATTTCACAAGCCCTCCGACCTGGTTCTGAAGAATGCTAAAAGTTGAGAAGTACAGGTGGTAAGGCGGGCACCCTAGTGGCATAGTGGGTTCCCTACTGCCCCGGAAGGTTTCCGAGACTGTAACTCTTTATGAGTACACAGCCTCATCTTTCTGCCTTGGACCGGCTGGTGATTTCAAACTACTGACTTGGTTGTTAGCAGCCCGACACCGAACCACTATGCCCCCGAGCTTCCTCTTGGCCCTCTGTATGTGTTTGATTAATTTCCACAACCCACAATAGTGCAGCTCATTTTTATCATCATTTTACAGAAGAAACAGATACATATTTTATTTACTCTGCTCAACTTCTTGAAAAAACAAGTGCTATCCCCATTAAATGGATGAAACAAAGCTCAGAGAAGGTACGTAAACACCCAAGGTTAGGTGTCTAATGGATAGTTACAAAAAATAAAATTTCTAGGAGGTGTAGCCAACCTATCATGGACCTAAGCTATGCTCGAAGAAAACCTACTCTTCGGGAGCTGCGGGCATTAAGGGGGTGAATGTCAGGAAACTGGTTAGAGTCGAGATTCTGCAATGATAACTGCTGGGCAGTCAATGCCCAAGTCACGTGACCTCTGTAGCACCAGTTGTCTCACCCTAAGTAATGGGGCAAATGTTTACAAAGGGCTCCGGCGAGCTCCAGTGAAATACAAGGGACACGGGTCAATGGCTGTAAAAGAAATCTCTCTTCACAGCACAGTTTGCAAAGGCTCTTGTTGCATTTGTTGCTCACGAGAGACCTGGGCTCTACAGGAAGAGGCAGGAATCCACGGAGAACCAGGACTCACACCAGGGCAGGTGCGTTTCAATGGCTGTGTTCTTCACCAGGCGGCCGCTGTGTGGAAACCATCGAACACAACTAGGTGGGCGCTGTCAGGGTTACGGCTGTTTTTAGTGGAGGGGTGAATGGCTCTCTGCCCTTCGCTAACCAGTGTTTTATGGCAAAGCCTTGTAAAGCACGTCTGGGGAAGGGGTGCACACGGCCCATCTGAAGAGATTCTCTTCTTATTGCAGACTGCTGCCTTCACGTAAAGCCCACCCAGGGCCTGCAAAGCCTTTTGGGTTCCGGGCTACACCTGTCTTTCCCAGTGTCTCTATCTCTCTTACACTTACACACACCCTCAAGTGTATGAGAGCTCAACTCTGATGAGGATAAGGATGTTCATGCAACCTAGACGGTCCCGCTAAGGCTGGTCGAGGAAGCCGGTTCACGGTAGGGAACAGAGTGCAAGCAGTGGGAGTCAGGCAGGCAGACGGGCCCACTCAGGGGTCTCTGCTCCTTGCAGGAGAAGGTGAGAATATGCTGGGTCAATTGTTTTGCCCGGTGACTTCAGGCAACAAGTTCATGGAGACAGAGCCTGGGAGAGAAGCCAGCAACAGGAGTGGTTTCCTGGGCTGACAGAAGGCCGCTGTCCCCGTCCCTTGCCTTTCAGGGATACTTGCTGGCTGCAGTCCAGGGCCCCAGAGCCACGAGAAGTGACTGACCCACCAATGCCCGATGGGTATCAGGAGGCCAGCAGAGAAGAGGGCACTGCTGCTTGCCCTCTGGTCCACATTAGGAGCCCCCCTTCTTGTACCATTTTCATGAATGGGTATTAATAAGCTGCCACCAGGTACTTGAGCACCTGCTATGTGCATTTTCACTCAGAACTTTTCTACTGTTCACCCAACCCTAGGAGGACTGGATTAGTATCTCTGGTTTACAGTGGAGGCGACCAAGGCCTACAAAACTAGGAAGTCGTCCTAATAAATTCAAAGACTGAATTCCGATGACCAAAGCAGGGTGTTTTTGCACAAAACAACAGTATCAGTCTAGGGTCAAAGGCAAGAAAGGGCAAGGCACTTACTCCCTAATGAAGCCAGCAAGCACCGTGACCCTGGTCAGCCTTACCAGGTCTACAAGCCTGCAGGCCTGTACATGATAATTAAATGGAGGCGCCAGGCTCTGGCTTGATAACTGTTCAGAGACACTGCCAAGACTCTTGAAAAAAGACTTAATATGTAAAGACCACTGGTTATACGTCAAACAATTTTGGACGAAAATTCGATGAGGGCAAGGAATATCCCGGTCCAAGACCTGGTTTTTTGAAGTGAGTTCAGTTGCCACCCCTCCAGACAGCTGTCCATGATCAACCTTCTCTCCCAAGTTCTCTTTCCTCCATTGACTGCCAACAGCAGGTAACCTGGACCTCTCACCTAGTGCTTTATCTGCCTACCGCCCCACTGAGAGAATACGTACGTATGTCTCCATATGCCCTCTCCAGCCTATTGCCACCGAATCCATTCTGACGATAGCAAACCTACAGGAGAGACTAGAACTGCCCAGCAGGGTTTCAACACATGAAATCTTTATCGAAGCACACTGTCACATCTTTCTTCTTTCGAATCACTGGATTTTCAATTAGTGCACCACCAGGGCCGCTTTGGTCTCCCCCAGTAGGGGTGAAAATCCCATTCCCCTCAAGCTATCAGAGTCGAGAACTGAGTAGATACATACTAGGGGGCTTATGGAGTCACCATCTGTCCAAGAGGAACAGGCTAGCGTGGAGGTATCTGTTTAAAAAATGACAGCAGACCGCCCTGAGCGGTCAGATCTACCGAGGTGGGCCTGTCTGGAGACAAGAGCTCTAGATACTCTACCTGGCCCTTTATTTCTCTCCCTTGCCCCCTTCCAAGCTGAGAGCACTAGGACAGGGGACTTGCCATTTCTCAGGTCCCCAAGAAAAAGGCTCTAAGTTTTGGGGGTCAGCAATGAACGACTCACATCCCCTAAAGAAGGCACATGACCTTTATAAAGGTCTGGCTGGACTCTCCTTTCTGCTCCTTGGAATGTACAGGCCCTTGTTTCTGGCTAGAAAGGAGGAGAGTGAAGAAGAGGCTGTAGACGGGCCTTCTTTTCCCGTGGAAGCTCCCCCGATGTACAGTCTACCGAAGGGAATTCGTTTAGTGTTTGGCGAGTTCTACACCAAGTCCTAAGGAGCCCAGTCCTAGGGAGTGGAGTGTTGGGCTGCTAACCACAAGGTCAGCAGATTGAAGCCACCAGGGGCTCCACGGGAGAACGATGAGACTTTTTACTCCCATAAAGAGTGACAGATTCAGAAACCCAGAGGGGCAGAGAAGTTCAGTGCTGTCCTATAGGGTACCTATGAGTCAGAATCGATTTGATGGCCGTGAGTTTTTGGTGTGGTACCGAGTTCTGCAAACAGTGTGTTGGGTCTGCAAATGAATGAGATGGATAGGGCCTTGGAAAGGAATTGTCTGTGGAAAGGGACCCACATTCCTACCTCACTATTGTCTGGAGGA